CTGATAGAAATTGCCGTGCCGTGCCGTGCCGTGCCGTGCCGTGCCGTGCCGTGCGTGAAGGCGGCGCTGCCGGCTGTTAGGAAGTGAGGATAAAGTCAGGCGAACACGATAGCGGCTGTTCTTCTGCTCCGTAGAAGTGAGGAGGCACCTCGGGGGTAACATGATGGCGTGGCTGAGCTTTCTGGTCATGTTCCTCTGCAGCTGGAGCCTGCGGGACTCGGTGGTGGAGGCTTGCACTTGCGTCCCCATCCACCCGCAGGACGCTTTCTGCAACTCCGACATCGGTAAGTGCCGCAGGCCGGCGGCGCCTCCTTGCCCCTCGGCTGCCCCGGGTGAGGTGCTTTCGGGGGGGGAGCCGTGCACCTGCCTGCCTCTCTAGAGAGTCCTGCGGAACCCCGAAGGGGTGCGGGCAGCAGCCAGGCTGTCACTATAAGTAAGCCTTTGTCCTGCGAGTCACCCAGTGAAAGTAGAGGTGGGGTGAGTTAAACCTGTGAGAGGTGACCTGGCCCTTCAAGACAGGTTATGACTGTAACGCTTGAGTTACTGAGAGGTGGGTGGTGGTGGACGCCCTCCCCCAGCCCTCCTGAGGTGTGGTGAGGAGTGAGGTGTGCTCCAGCAGCAGGCCCTGTCCAACAACAGGCAGCCTCTCCAAGAAATACTATAAAGAAATCAGTAAGAGTGACTTGTTTCTTACAGCAAGACAAAATCACAGTTGGGGTTGTGGGCAGCCAAAATTTCCTCCACAACCTGGTGATAAATAATAGGAGGCAGGATTAGGATGAGTTCTCTCAAGGCAGGAAACTGTCCGTGATGGTTGGTGTTGGAAAGTGCAGCTCACAGAGGCTTGTCGTGCTGCACCAGTAACTTCAGGAAGGGCTGGAGAAGCACGTAACAAGTGCCTCCACGCTTTCTACGTGCTTGTGATCTTTGCAGCTGTGGGAGGTGTGCGAACGTGTACGCTTTTTGGAAAGCTGAAATGCTTTTACGGGATCCTGGGTGATGTTCTTCGCTATGGGTTTTAGCATCCCTAGGGGCCTTTACTACACTAACTTTAGAGCACCCAGAATCTCTGAGGAGGAGGTAATGGACACTCTGGTCTCAAGTCCTTTGGTTTGTTTGTAGCCAAGGGTGATTAAACAAATACAGTTGCTGCTTGGTAAGTATCCCGTGACAAAATATATGAAATCAATTAGTGGTGTTCTTTGAGTTAATACTGGACACATGTCCACATAAGAGTAAATACAGGCTGTCACTTCAGCAGTTGTGAGTGGACTGCATGAGTGAAATCTTCTTGCACCTCTGTAGATTGTCTTAGTAGCACAATGTAAAAGGACTTTGTAGTGCTGGTACCCACACAGTACTGACTCCAAGTGGAGCCTGGAAAGAAATCCTGGCAACTGCTCTGGAAGTCAAACAGAAAATAATTCTTGCTGCAGCAGCACACCCATTTTCTATGAACCCTGCCAGTGGCTCTTTCAAGTAAGCTAAGCTTACTGGCAAAAAAAAAAAAAAAATCTCTTGCCTTTAACTCTTCTACAGAAACTGCAGTTATGTCTGGTTATTCATGTCTAGTTTATATAGTGTATCTGCTCTTGAATGCAAAAAAAAAAAAACATTACATGTTAAAAGTGCTGGGAAGGTTACAGTTTGCTTCAGTGACTGTAGCCTGGAAAATACTTATAAAATAGTTTTATACTGGGGAATTCTTCCAGGAAACTGCAATATTCAAAGTTCTGTTGCCATTTTCATAGTTTGGATTAACAAGTGTGGCACTTAAATGGCAACTGCCAGGGAGATTGTCCTTTCTGTGAAAGTGAGACTGGGAAACCGTTTTTCTACAACTAAAGCTGGTGACAGCATGTGGCCTTCATTAGCTGCATTTGGGGAGAAGGTCTACTTTCTTGCTCCAGTTAAGTCATGTTATACTAGATTAAGGCAGTTTTCAGTTTAATTCAACCTCTTAAAATGGTATTAAAAATTTTTTTGTTATGAAGACACACTGACTGTATTTTTACTAGATGCGTAAGTGACTAGGGGTAGGGTAAACTATGAAGTTACGTGAAAGTGCTTCTAGACTTTAGGGCACAAAGTTTTTCTGTTTTCTACTCTGATTTCTGGCTGACTTCAAAGTCGGCTTCTTCAGCTCTCCTTTCTCTCTTCTGGACTCTTCATTATATCATGCCTTGGCTTTGCTCTGGAACATGGTAGTCCAAAAAGTTGCTGTCAATGGAGCTGTCAAGCCTTCAGACATCACGCAGTGCAGAGGAGGAGAAGCACAAGGGGAAAGTGCAACTCATTCTAGTAATGACTTAAATGCAAGTTTGGTTAAGATAGCAGCTCTGTGTGATGGGTTGAACATTTGCTAGAACTGTCTGGAAAATGTGGTGTTTCTAAAAGCTGATTTTAGTAAATGCTGTCATGTTCTTCATGTGCTGAAAAGGCAAAAAGCACACTAAAGCTTTCTGGCTTTGGAGGAGTTAATCATCTCCATGGAAACTGATGGCAGTGTACTAATGCAGTGTTTAGACAGACTAAACTACACACTGGGTTATAAAATACATTGTGGGGAAGAAAGGGACTTGGCAGCAAGTTTTTATTGCTCTTGAAACTCCTGACAACATATCATCTCAAAAGGGAGGAGTCAATGCAGTAAGGGCTAGAGCAAAAGAGCTTTTTGAAAATAGCTCCTAAACCAATCTAAGAAATTAACTAGCTAGGTGGCAGCCTAGGAGAGGCTATTCTTCAGAAGCACTGAATTTTTGAAGGAGAAAATACCTAGTTTAGGAGTGTAATGCAAACTCTTACTGTTGGTCTTTCATGCCTAGCCAGTGAAGTCGTCCTCTCACGTTTATTTTTTCTCTCCTTTAATCTGTTTTCACTAGACATTTAATTTTTGATCTTCCTGTGGCTCAGTTCTGATATAGCCTCCCAGCTCCGCAGTCATTAGAAGGTTTTAATCTTTACAGAAACAGATGGTGAGATGCCCACTGGAAAGGGCAGGATTTCAATATGTACATCCTTTGAAAGCGAAGGTTGTGGTCTTCTAAAGGAAGCTTGGAGTCTGTACACAACGATATTTTTTTTTTTTCTTTATTATGAAAAGGAAGGGGGTGGGGGTGGGAAGAGGAACTACTGCCAGAGTGGCCACAAGGGGTCTTTTCACTCAGCCTGAGTGTTCCCACAATGATGAATGGAGCAAAAGTGAAGAGATGTGTCTGATCTGGCCCTCTGAGGTTAATCAATAATAAAATTGCCCGTTTAACTCTTGTCTGTCTTTCTTTAACCGGATTGATAAGTGCCAGAACAGGCAATACAATAATTAGACAAACAGCAAGACAAACAGCAACTGCTATGACTTGCCATGTGAACTTTGCTTCCTCCAATCCTAGCCCCTGCCTATGACCCCTTCCAGATGTGAATATTTTTGTTTTGTTTGAATTAAGAGACCTTTTGAGAGAACAGACACCAGGCATGCTTTGTTCCATTGTGACAAAGTTGTGACATTTCCAGCTGGACATAGCTGACATGAAAAAGGCTTGTTTGTACTTTTTTTTGCAGGAGCAGCAGGAACTTTTGAGCTTGGCTGCTGAATGTTGCATTCACAGGTTAGGAAAAACACCTCCTGCCTGGCTCCCTCTGCCCCACCTCCCCTGAAGGGAAAAAAAAAAAAAAAAAAGTCTACTAGTGATAAAGAAAGTACTTCATCTACTCCACACCTATCTCACTTTCATCTCTTGCATATACTTCAGAAAAGAGCTATGGCACTACTAGCTGTCTCTTACCCCAGTTCAAACGAGCTGAAAATAGCATTCTGTAGTTTCTATAGTTTGTTTTAGGGGAAGAAATACCTGTTTCATAAAGAACGCTGGTGGGTAGTGCCCCTCTCCGTTCTAAATAACCTCACTCTCGATGAGTTGGAGTTATCAGGCTTTGGGGAGATGACCATAAGCTCTTGGATTACTTTGGTGCTAAGGAAGCCATTCATTTCTCCACCCTGCCATACCTATAGCACTGTGTTCACAACACCTGCAGTGGCTAGCCTATTTGAACTGAGAATGTGATAAGAGAAGAGCAAGAAACATCAAAGAAGGAAGAAGCTCATGAATTTGTTTGGCCCAGATTCTAACTGAAAACCTGCCTTGTTTCTTTCACTGGTTTTCTTGAATTGATTATTTCACCTTCTCACTAATAAGCTAGAAGAGATGCAGTACAGCTTGATCAAACACGAGATTTTGAACATGCTTTCTTTGCCTTAAAATAGACTCCATAGTGAGGTCATATGTGATGCCTTATCCTTTAAAGCAGATAAGTAAGGTCTACTAAACTAATTTAAAAGTTAAAAAACCCAGCTCCAAGTAATTATTATATGAATCTTTTCACTTGAGAAGAATTTAAAACATTTTTTGCGTTACATGTCATGATAATGCTTGCAAAAATGTATCAACTTTGAAATCAGACTTTTGTTGAAGTAATGGTATGGTTTCATTTTTAGACTGGACTCCCTTTGAGGCATTATAGAAGCAGAAAATCTGCGAGGCATCCTGTAAAGCTTAAAAAAAAAAGGAAAAAAAAAAAAAGAAAAAAAAAAGTATTGTTAATTCCATTTTACATGAGAAGAAATTCAGGAGATTGTTTATCTTTTATGGAAATCCAATGTTCATGGTAAAAACTGGTGAAAGAGGGTGTTCCTTGTGCCTGGTCATATCTTCTGACAGAAGGATGGTCATTTTAAAATGAATTGTCCTATTTAATAGAAGTGAAAATAGAAGTGGCTTGTTTGATGTTTTGTTGATGATTTGAAGTTAAAGTCCATAGCAGAATACAGAGATCACCTTGTAGGATCTGGAGTTTGTCACTTCTCCAAATGTACATATTAAAAAGAATAATGTGGAAATTACTGTTTGGAAGATGCAGTGCAGAACTGGTATCTTGTTACTTTTGCATATGCTTACTCCAGATTTCCTGCAGGAGTACTCCAGCAAGACCTTTGAGGCAGCAGAGATAGATGTTCTAACCTTGAGCCTTAGAGCTTCTTGCTTTATGTAGACATTTGTTTAATTGTTATTTTCACTGATTTCTTACCTGTTCTTGAGAACTCTCCACCTGTCAACTGCTCCTCTAATCTTCCTGGGAAGAAGTGGGCTGGTGGGAACATAGTTATGTACAGCCATATGCAGTACTAGCATTTTGTAGTTTAGCAAAAGCTTTCGTCTGTGGTTGGAAAGGGCCTGCTTTGCTCACGTCTGTCTTTCAGCATGAGCAGGTTTCACTGTTTGACCATAAG